GAAATCGCAACATGTCATATTCACATTGTCACAACTCGACAATTAATCTACTTCACCCTGCGTGACGTCGACTTTTTCTAGTCTTTGGAATTTCTAGTTATAACTTATCTATGTATCAAATCTTATTCCATCGCTCTACAATAAATTGTGGATTTAAATATGGTTAGGGATAAGGCATATATGTTTTATAGTCTATTATATGTTTCTATATTATTATTATTATTATTATTATTATTATTATTATTATTATTATTCTCGCATTTATTTAGTATGTAAATTAAATTTTTGATAATGATCATATTTCATTCGTGCAAAGTACGGTTAATGTGTCCTTTTATTTCGATATTTTCATATATACTTCTACATATTTTTTTGTAAATGCAAATATGAATTATTGATTGTGGCAGAAAAGTCTGCCATTAAATATAAATTCTTACCAAATATATGGACCATTTTTCTTCGCGAACATTAAAATAATAATAACGTGATTTCATATTAATTATAACATTTTGACAGTTTATTAACAAGATTGATCTTTTCACGATGAAAGAATTTAAATTTAGAAGTTCGAATCACTACAACAAAAATAGTCATTTGCAACACTAAAAACGCAATGTTGCTAAAAGGGTATTTCGGCAACATTTTAGTAAGTGAATGTTGCCATTGGTTAGTATAAATGAGTTTTGGCAACGTTTTATAGAAAAATGTTGCGATAAACCCCATTTTGCAACGTTTATTGAGTGTTGCGGAAAGTTTTATTTTTCGCAACGTTTGATAAACGTTGCGAAATGTCTTACTTTTCACAACGTTTGTCAAACGTTGCAAAATAAAAGCCTTTTGCAACGTTTGTCAAACGTTGCGAAATGTCTCACTTTTCGCAACGTTTGACAAACGTCGCAAAAGACTTCAAGCTATTGAATCTTATACCATTTAAGCTATTGAAGAGACGTTTCGAAACGTTTGTCAAACGTTGCAAAATGTCTCACTATTCGCAACGTTTGACAAACGTCGCAAAAGACTTCAAGCTATTGAACCCTATACCATTTAAGCTATTGAACCCAACTCAGTCAAACCAATTCAAACCAGACCTACCAACAAACATGTAGAAGAAATCTTTAACATGTTCGTCAATTGCTGTAAAACTTCAGCAACACACAGATTTCATCAAATATTTTGCAATGTATTAATTCCCCCAAATTCTCAAAATTTCCGGAAAATGCCACCACCGAGTAATCCCTCCCGGATATTTTCTTTCTTCGGACTTGGCACCGGGGGTAATTATACCGTTAAAGATGATCTGGAGTCGCCGCAGCTGAACTTGGAAGCGGACAGGGAAGTGTATAGACCGGGGATCCATTGACTATCACGATTGAAATCAAAAACCCAACACTCGAATGGTCACTTTTGATTGAAAAGCTTAACTTTGAGATTAAAGGGATTGAAAAATTTGCGAAGTGTGAATTGCACAATTGGTTAGTCATTAGTGATTTGATATTGCCCTGTGATTTTTGTCCAGAGGCAAACATTATTTCCACTGCAACCTTTTGGCGCATAGGCCGGCAGTAGTTGCGCTTTTCGGGTGCCTAATCCCCTCCTTTGTGTTGTGCTAGAAGCCAAGAATATTACCAATTACTTAATGTTCATCAGCCTCGTAGTTTGTCTAAATTGTAACTTAACAGTTCATTTCTTGAATTTCATCACCAGCCATTTAATAGCATGACTTTCAGAAACATTTGCCCTATAAGTTTCATTAGACCTACCTAGTGTTAGTTGCTATTTATGTATACTTGAATTTCATTATATTTATGTTGAATCCAAAGGTGATTTCTCCGTTATGGCTTGCCATGGCCTTCATCGCCTCCCTGTTATGATCTTTAATGATCTGCACTAATACCTATGATTGATTTGTGGGAAAGACAAGGGAATGAAGAAACCCTAGGAGTGCGAATTAAGCCAATAGAGCTATATAGATTTGTACCTAGATGGGTGATAAGGGATTGAAACTAGCAGCTATAAATCATGAGTGTTTTGGTTTAATGTTGTGTGCTATGGATCTTGTCTGACCTTTGGCGACAAGCATTATTGTAACTAAGTGAACCCTTTTCTTTATACGTGATTTACTTTGTTAGCTTGGATATTTATTTCATTTCTCTTTAAATGCAGTGGCTGCTGATGGAAATGAACCTGCGCAGATGAGGATTCACAGGTCCCTTAGGCTTCGGACTTTTTATGTGGATTTGGATGAGAACCTGGGTACCCTGGAATCAACTCGTGCAGTTTATGAGAGAGTACTAGATCTAAAAATTGCCACACCGCAAATTATAATAAACTATGCAATGCTTTTGGAAGTAAGTAGGAGCTTCCAAACTTGAGTAACACGATGGCCGGTGATGGTGATGTTGCTGGAGAAGATGAAACAAGCTTCTAGCCCCTTGGAAGGTGCTCTGTTGTCTATTATGGGGTGGGGCACATGCTCAATGACAGGTATTATTTGAGTTTAAACTCTGGAATTCGGTGTCTGTATTCATTCAATAATTTTACCATCTAATAATGATTGCCAATTATATCCTATCATCAATGTAGAATGAAACGAACTTTGGAGTTGGAAAGTTGATTGGTTATGTGAGGAATCTTGAAAATAACAGACCTGTGGAGCAGATTGAGGCAAGAAATAAACTTTCTTCTCTTACTATTTAATTTTAGTGAATCCTAAATTTTGTTCTTCGCAATCTGTAGGGAACTGCATCAAGTTCTTCCCGTCCTGCTCTTGAATTGCTGCAAGTATCTCCATCAAGGGTAGAATCAGGGCCGGCCCTGAAATTTTGAATGCCCTGTACAACATTTTAACATGGTGCCACTTTCATGAAATTAAAAAAAAAATCAATAATATTATATCATCGCAAAATTATAATACTTAAATACTATTTATTTTTTTAAATGTCGTGAATAAGAAAAGTATAAATAAAATTCAAAAGCACATCTCAAACTTCATCAAAATTCACGTCATCAACAAAGAATCATTCGAATCCCTAAATTTTTCATGCAATTCCATATGAGATAACCTTGAAATTAGAAACGTCAAATACGTCGTGTAAACTTTAAAATACAATAAATTACGTAAAAATATTTTTTCTTACATTTCTAGAAGCAAACTAACTAAT